TGACTAAAATTAAAACCTTAATAACTTTTTAATTAACTGTTATAAAGCTTAATCCTCTTATATTATTACTCTTTATATATGCATACATTAGGGTTTAATTTGTAATAATGTAAGCTAGTCTTATTAAAGAGTTATTTATAGTTTAAGTTTTACTATATAAATATTTTATATAGTAAAAGTTAAAGCCTTAATATTTATTGTAAAATAAGACTAGCGCTACTAGCGTTTTTACATATATTAGATGATTATATAAAGAGTAATAGTCTAAGAGCATTAAGATTTATAACCATTATTACAGAAGTTATTAAGGTTTTAATTTTAGTCACATGACGTGGATTTTGGTGTGGTTTCTAGAATAGCCCTTTAGGCCATGTAGCCCTTTAGGCCATGACCTACGTTATGGCCATACCGGGAATCCGGCAACCACCACTAAATAAAGAGTCACGTGACCTAAATGAAAACTGTAATAACTTTTACAATAGTGCCTATAAAGCTTAATCCTCTTATGTTCTTACTCTTTATCTACATATATACTATAGCTAAATGTTTTAGAGTGTAAGCTAGCCTTAGAAAGGAGTTATTTATAGTTTAAGTTTTGCTATATAAATATTTTGTATAGTAAAAGTTTAAACCTTAATATCTCTTATAAAACACAACTAGTACTACTAATGTTTTCATATATATTAGATAACTATATAAATATCGTTAATATAAGAGGGCTAGGCTATACATCTACTAATTAAAAAGTTATTAAGGTTTTCATTTTAGTCACGTGACCCTCTATTTGGTGGTGGTTGCCGGATTCCCGGTATGGCCATAACGTAGGTCGTGGCGTAATCGGGAGTATGGCGTAATCGGGAGGAGGTACCTTTACAGCAAACTTAGTATGAAAAGGTACTTAATTTTTAAAAATTTAATTAATTTATAATGCCTTTAATAAAAATATTAGGGCTTATCCCTTTTATATATAGGAAGTGTATAAGGCTACCTAATGTATACGAAAACACTAGTAGCGCTAGCGTCTTTCTACACAAGTTATTTAAGTTTTAAAGTTTTGCTATATAAAATTTTAGTATAGTAAGTCTAAAACTGCTAATAACTTTATAAGCACACTAGCTTACATACTAGCGTTATTAATTATTAATGTATATGTGTATGAAGATCATAAGCATAAAAGGGCTAAGCATTAAAATGCTAATTATAGAAGTTATTAAGAGTTAAAGAGTAGATCATGTAATCCTTAGTTTTGCTGTGGCAGTCAGTTTGATGGGGTCGCTTACCCTACTATCCCGATTACGCCATCCTCCCGATTACGCCACGACCTACGTTAGTCATTTTAAAACAGTTAGGTGGCAATTCAGTCCTTTTTAATATTTTAGGTGGCAATTCAGTCATTAACCGTAATAAGAAAATAGAAGCCTCTAAAGTATTATGGCTAACTGCCTTAATTCCTCTCTAGCCAGTTTGGGGGGGGATGATGCTAATATAAACATGGATTATCTCGTCCTATACAGTAAAAGGCGAATTAGGCGTCGGTGGTTTTCTACCTGTCTATTTCAGGAACACTTCTAGCTGTGTACTCTGCCTGATTACATTTTACATTGAATTACTATGAGATCTCTTCCTACCATCACCATGAGCTCAATTATCATCTTCATCTAGATCTGTATCGCTCCAATCTCCCTCACTATCGACCGCATCTCGTATAGCCAATCCTGGAATCCGAATGTTCTCGTAATGTTCTGCACTCTGCTGCTGGTGCGATTTCCCCCGAAGGTCGACATCCCTCATTGGTAGCGGCGGTACCTTGCTGGAGTTGGCCTCACTCGCGGCTACCTGGAGCAGGTGCTTATGTCGAGCCGTAGTGGTGGCATCCGGGGTTTGTGAGAGCTTTAGATACCGTTCGTAGCCTTCAGCAGCGTCGTTGGGCTGGTTTTCGGCTGATTCATACTATAAGGGGCAATTATAAGCTATTGTTCTCTGAAGGCTTACGCTTCTTATCACATACCAAGACGCCCAGGCAATACCATGCTTCCGGGATGTAAGGGTTAAGTCTCACACTCCGTGTAAATGCATCAAAACTGTCTAGAAATTGGTTTATCACGTAGTATAGCACTCCGACGGAATGCCAATATCCTGGAAATGCACCTTCCCTGTAGATAGCCTGCTGGTAATTCTCGTAGGCCTTCTCCACTTGGCCGATGTCCATAAATGCTCTCCCAAGGAGATACCAGGTCTGGCTGTCAAGGGGATCTGATTTTGCTTTTAGTATCTTGAAATATTTAATCGCAAATTAAGGAACAACTTACCTGACCTAATTGATCTTTCTAGTAAATCAATAGTAGACCTCAGACGATCTACCTTGCGCGGCTCCTCTGCAATATTGTCCCTGTGAGGGTAATTGAACCAAGCAATGAATTGAAGGGCCCTTGCGCTCTCTGGATCCTCATCCAGAAGTGCATGCGCTTCCTCGAGAGTCGCAATGGGGCTCATAGCATGGTAGACATGGATTCTTCGAAAAGAGCTAAAATCTTCTTGGAGAGTTTGCACTGGGGGTAGGGAGGGGCCTTTAATATTAGGTGCCCGAGGTGTTTGATCTTCCCCGATCAGAAGAGGGTAGTTTGTGTCCCCAGATGCAGCGAGTTGCAGCAGATTTGTAGTTCGTCCGTATATAACAGACCAGCGGCCACATTTTTTACTAATCTCCCTGCAATTATTATCCCAGCTTCTTAATACCGTGTTTAGTAGGTATAAACATACCAACTATAGCCGCGTTCTGATTTGCGTAAATCGGTCAAGGGCTCGTTACACGACGGGAACTGACAACGGTCTCCTATGGTTTGCTTCGAGACGACCATTGACTGAGAGATATGTGCACCAGGTTTGATGTTAGATTTCCATGTATATGATTGGAAGACTGAGTTATCTCTCGCGGATATGATCATGAACTGTCCTAATGCAACTCGATTGGATCCTATCCGATTGTTTCTAAAGACTACCGTTTGTAAAATGTCTTTGAATGTCTAATCACCGTTAGCAACTAAGATTTACCAATGCCTAGATAATCTCTGTTTATATGAGAAGGTATTATAGCTGGCTGAGTTTAGGATAAGATATGACTTACCTCCCATTCCCTGCAGGCTTGGAATGGCAGTGCCCAACTCTCACCAAGTGCGTCATCAAATCTCACGATATCAAGGGTGAGATGTAGAGGGATCGCATCAATGGCACGAAGGATCTGCTTTATTTTCGCATGAATATCCAAGAGCATTTGTCTGTAAATAAATGATTAGGTCTGACAGAAAGGGAGTGTAAACGGCGATTGTTGCTCACGTGTTTTTTGCAATCTGGCCGAGAACTTCTTTCGAAAACTCCCCAAGTCTGTCGGTATATTAGCAGTAAAAAATAAAAAATAAAACCCAACTTACAGCTTCATCAGTCTATGTACGTTCGCCATAAGGGATGAAATTGTAGCCATGATCTTAGCAGCCTGGTTTCCGATGCTGTGCGCACTCTCGAGAGCTTTCTTACCCTGAGATATAATCAATTCCGTATTTACAGTAATGGTGCTAACACCTTCTGTAATCTTTCCCTGAAACTTGTTATTTTTTGAAGCATGACTAGCGAAAGACCCTCGTAGATGCCGGATCTCATGTGGTAGTGTCTCAACACTGCTCAAGATATCGATGGTATTGGTAAGAAGTGCTTTAGAAGCAGCGAAATGCTGTCGAGCATCGCTTCTAAATACCAATTCATCCTTTTCGAGCGTCCTCAGATACGTTCTAGGAAAGTCTTAGTGCATCCAATCTTACTGTCAGTGCCCAGACCAACTTACAGTTGCTGCAAGCCTAACAAAATATTAATAGCCACCATCTCTGAAACAATCACTTTCCTTAGATCTTCTACATCCTTCCTCCTAATCAAACTCCAGTGAAGCCTTTCCCCGACAGCACTAATCGTCCCTGCACTCCTAAAATGGCCTAAGCTAGATTCCTTCGACCTTATCTTGTTAATGAAGGCCTGCAAGGGCTGCTGGCAATGCATTACAATCAGCCTTATCCGCTCAAGGCCAGCAAGCTCATTGACATCTGTTGTCTGGATCTGAAGCACACATTGAAGCGTACTCTCCAAAAGTCTGAGCTCAGCGTTAAGCTGCTGGAAGTGCTGCGGCGCATCCCTATAACCCTGTACCTCCTCGGAGATGCGCTTGAGACTGTGTATGACGGCGAGAAAATCACCAACCCCGAATCCAAAGCTCATGGCTCGTACGGACGTTCTGGGCCAAGGCGGGGCTATTGGCCTGATGTAGGTAGCGACGAGGCTGGCCCAGGACAACACCTCTGGCGAGAATGATTAGGTTAGCTTAGAGAACGCTATTTCACCGGGGTTGAGATATTCATTCCTCTAGTAGGAGAGTAAAACTAAATGAGAGCGATTTGGGTTGGGGCAGTAGAGACGCGCGCAAGGCAGCGACGTGTGTGTTGGGTCTAGAGGCGTAGGGACAGGGATCAGGTCACCGCCTGTCACAGGACGTGAAATTTAATAACCGAAGGTTAGCTTCTCCACGTTTCCCGAAAGCTTAGCCTCTCCTACGATTCATCCCTGTATCTCTTCCCCACACGCCGAAATCCGGGAGTGGATTAAATATACGCTTCAGCCACTCGAAGCTGATTTTAGAATCGGTATCCGGGGGGAGGGAACGTGGTCTAGTTGCTTCGATACGTACTAGCTGGCTAAATAATCATAGGGTCAATATACATACCATTAGCACTAATGCATTCTATTGCTGTTGCTGTTGTTCGTTTAACATACGCGCCTCGATAGTTTCGTCTGTCATCCTTACTTACCTACAAGGACTTTAACAGAGCTAGGCATAGATAACATTACCCTAGTTTCGTCTATATTATAGACATTCTCTACTAAAATAGCAGGGTCTTATAGTATCTTTCTAATTACCTTAAACTAGTGTATGACCTTCCTATATATTTTTCTTATAGCAGTTCTAGTCCAACGGGCTAACTCTTCTTACTTAGAGTCTTAGATGTCACTTCTCTAAAGCCTTAGTCTAATTCTTCCTAGGAGGTTTAAGCCTATCTACCTTAGGTTGCTAGTAAGTAATGCTAAAGGCTAAGGAAGGGATAAACTTAATTTATATTAGTTGTCCTAGATTGTACATTTATAACATAAAGTTAATAATGACATCCTCTACCTATAGCTAGAGGTACTATTAGCCTTAAGCCTTCTCTTTTATTAAGGGTTGTCTATAAGCATAATAATTAATAGAGGGTAGAATAAGGAACATTACTATAGACCTTATTAAAGTTAGATAAATGTTATAAGCTACCTTAGATAACTAGTTATATCTTATCCTTTAGCTAGTTATATCTTATCCTTTAACTAGTTATATCTTATCCTTTATAAAGAAGCTATTTTTTATTTATCTTATATATATATATATATACCTACTTTATAAGTATTAGTTCTATAAGATTTGCTTTTTTTAAGGTATTAAAATAACAGTTATTATAGAATTACTAACATATGTTGTGGCTATACTAACTTAATTGCCAAACCCTACTAAAATCTAGAACTAAACTATAAAACTACTAACTTAGAAAATTGCAAATAATTCAATTACTACCACCCTAATTCATCTATATTATCCTTAGAAGGCTCTTCTTCGCTCTCTTCATCTATTTCCTTAATTATAGCTTTGTTTATAGGTTGTGGTGTTGTTCTAGGCCTCTGTAAAGCTGTGGCTGTTGCTGCTTCTGCTTCTATAACTTGCAACTGGAGTTCTTCTGTAGAAATGTGGAATTAACCCTTTAAAACTACTCTCTTACCCTTATTCTATACTCTAACGTAGGTCATGGCCATACCGGGACTAACGTAGGTCGTGGCGTAATCGGGAGGATGGCGTAATCGGGATAGTGGGGTAAGCGACCCCATCAAACCGACTGCCACAGCAAAACTAAGGATTACATGATCTACTCTTTAACTCTTAATAACTTCTGTAATTGGCATTTTAAGGCTTAGTCCTTTTATGCTTATGATCTTCATACACATATACATTAATAATTAATAACGCTAGTATGTAAGCTAGTGTGCTTATAAAGTTATTAGCAGTTTTAGACTTACTATACTAAAATTTTATATAGCAAAACTTTAAAACTTAAATAACTTGTGTAGAAAGACGCTAGCGCTACTAGTGTTTTCGTATACATTAGGTAGCCTTATACACTTCCTATATATAAAAGGGATAAGCCCTAATATTTTTATTAAAGGCATTATAAATTAATTAATTTTTTAAAAATTAAGTACCTTTTCATACTAAGTTTGCTATAAAGGTACCTCCTCCCGATTACGCCATACTCCCGATTACGCCACGACCTACGTTAAATTGCCACCCTATAAATGTACAACTTAAGTTAACTTACCTATAATAGTACTCTACAATTTAACTTAGCTATTATCTATATCTACTCTTAATATAGAACATAAGTTAGCTCTAAAATAATCTGTAGCTTACCCTTAACTCTAGTAATAAATTATGCTTATATAAAGTAGTATGTTACATGACTAAAACATAGTATGCTTATTACAAAGCCTTTATAGTGTTATATATGCTTAATTAATAGTTATAAGTAAGTAGTGATACTAGTAACTAAGTTATGTTTTAAGTTAAAGTGTAGAGTACTATTATAGATAAGTTAAGTTAAGTTGTAAATTTATAGGGTGGCAATTTGGTCATTTTAAAACAGTTAGGTGGTAATTCAGTCCTTTTTGATATTTTAGGTGGCAATTTAGTCATTAACCGTTCTTATTATCCTTGTAGTTACTCTTCTTTTAAGATAACTTAGACTTATAATCCTTTTTTAATTTACGATATTTAAGGAACCGTCTAGCTTTTACATGCCCATTTTTATGATAATAAATGTGCTTTTATTAGACTTTGTTGGCTTTATTATAGGTTTAAGTCTTAGAAAAAAACTTTCTAAACGTTTAATTCTACGTTCGTATAACGTAAGTCGTGGCGTAACCGGGCTAATGGCGTAACCGGGCTACCTACTCACCCCACCAAATCGAAGGACACGTAACTAGATTTAAAACCCTAATAACTTTTATAATAGTGATTATAAACCTTAATCCTCTTAGACTATTATTCTTTATATGCTAATCTAATATGCATAAAAACGCTAGTAGTGCTAGATTTGTTTTCTAAGAGATATTAAGGTTTAAACTTTTACTATACAAAATATTAGTATAGCAAAACTTAAACTATAAATAACTCTTTAATAAGGCTAGCTTACGTTCTTCAAAATTTAACTATAGTATATTAGTATATAAAGAGTAATAGTCTATAAGGAATAAGTTCTAATAATTTTATTAATAGAGTTATTTAAGTTTAAAGTTTGTAGATTTAAGTACCTTCATATATAAATTCTGCTGCAAAGGTACATAGCCCGGTTACGCCATTAGCCCGGTTACGCCACGACTTACGTTAAAGGAAAACCCTTTCATATAAACCTACTAGTGTACTATTCTACCTGTGTCCTAAGTTATCACATGAGCTATATCTTCTACACCTATGCTCTAGGTTATTACGTAGTTTGTTGTTCCTACCGTGCTCTAAGTTATCACGTGAATTTGTTGTTTGTTTATTGTTTGTTGTTTGTTTACATGTAACACTATTATTACGTATGCGTTAGAGTAGTAATATACATAATAACACTATTACATGTAAACAAAGAAACAACAAACATACATAATAACTTAGAACACATAACGTAAGTCATGGCGTAATGGGTCTAATGGCGTAATGGGCCTAATGTACCTTTACAGCCAAATTTGTATGTAAAGGTACTTATGTTTATAAAACTAAAAATCTAAAAATCTCTGCTAATAAAAATCATACACCTTAACTATTTAAAACTTAGGTTCTATATATAGGTGTTTACTTCATTTAAAAACGCTAGTACTACTAGTGCTATTATTTATATCCTATTAATAAGTTTAAATTACCCTAACGTAGGTCGTGGCGTAACGGGTGTAATGGCGTAACGGGGGTAGTGGTATTTTGCTAGCGAATTTATATCACGTGACTAGAATTAAAACCTTTAATAACTACTTAAGTAGGTGATGTAAAGTATAATACTTTTGTATATAAAAACTTCATATATACATATATTCGACATAGAAATTTCAGCCTGTAAGCTAGTTATATAAGGAAGTTATTAACAATTATAGATTTACCATACTAATATTTTGTATGGTAAAATCTTAGACCTTTAATAACTTATGCAAAACAATTATAGTGCTATTAGCGTTTTTTTATATAAAAGAGTATTATATACAGTTCTAATATATACAAGGAATAAGCTTTACTAATTTTATTCATAGAGTTATTTAGGTTTGAAGTTTTTGGTTCTAAGTACTATTGCTTAACGTAGGTCATGGCCTAAAGGGCTACATGGCCTAAAGGGCTATTCTAGAAACCACACCAAAATCCACGTCACGTGACTAAAATTAAAACCTTAATAACTTTTTAATTAACTGTTATAAAGCTTAATCCTCTTATATTATTACTCTTTATATATGCATATATTAGGGTTTAATTTGTAATAATGTAAGCTAGTCTTATTAAAGAGTTATTTATAGTTTAAGTTTTACTATATAAATATTTTATATAGTAAAAGTTAAAACCTTAATATTTATTGTAAAATAAGACTAGCGCTACTAGCGTTTTTACATATATTAGATGATTATATAAAGAGTAATAGTCTAAGAGCATTAAGATTTATAACCATTATTACAGAAGTTATTAAGGTTTTAATTTTAGTCACGTAGCGTGGATTTTGGTGTGGTTTCTAGAATAGCCCTTTAGGCCATGTAGCCCTTTAGGCCATGACCTACGTTACAAGTTTAGCTGTAAAGGTACATACCCCCGTTACGCCATTACACCCGTTACGCCACGACCTACGTTAGGTCATGGCCAGACCTGCTACATGGCCAGACCTGCTACCCCACCAAAATCTAGGACTAATCCACCAAACCCCTAACTACAACCACCAACACTACTATAACGTAGGTCATGGCCATACCGGGACTATGGCCATACCGGGAATCCGGCAACCACCACCAAATAGAGGGTCACGTGACTAAAATGAAAACCTTAATAACTTTTTAATTAGTAGATGTATAGCCTAGCCCTCTTATATTAACGATATTTATATAGTTATCTAATATATATGAAAACATTAGTAGTACTAGTTGTGTTTTATAAGAGATATTAAGGTTTAAACTTTTACTATACAAAATATTTATATGGCAAAACTTAAACTATAAATAACTCCTTTCTAAGGCTAGCTTACACTCTAAAACATTTAGCTATAGTATATATGTAGATAAAGAGTAAGAACATAAGAGGATTAAGCTTTATAGGCACTATTGTAAAAGTTAT